GGTGGGTCGGGTCGGCCCCCCCCATCTCATCCATTGCAAGGCGGGTCCCCCCCATATCTCATCCATTGCGAGGCAGGTCGTTATTCCTGAAAATAATCAGCATAGCGGCATTGCGCAAGAGGGTTTTTCTTGCCCAAGAAGGGGCCGTGTAGACAGCTCCTTCTGGCGCAAGAGCCTCTTCCACAAAATGGCAGTTCATTAGGTACGCAAATGAGGCTCGGCGATATTCCACGCTTAGCCTCATTTGCATATTTCTGGCGCAAGAATCCACCAGTGTAGACATAGACAAACTGTTTAATACTGGGGGGCACAAAGCAACTTTGTCAATATCAGAGGGGTAGCCGTGTTAGTCTGAATCTGCAAAAGCGGTGAGGAGTCCTGTGGCACCTTAGAGACTAACTGAAGTGTAGGATGCACATGCATCTGACGAAGTGGGTCTTTGCCCACGAAAGCTTATGCTCCTACACTTGAGTTAGTCTATCAGGTGCCACAGGACTCCTCACCGCTTTTGTCAATATCATTATTCACATCAGACTTCTCCCCACTCACATGACTTTTTGTCAAAGATTGATCTTGTTACCAGCAATAGAGTTGGTAAGAAAATAAATAGTCAAGATTCTATGTCTCCTGAAAGGATTTGTTTTTATTTTTACAATAACTAGACCTATCCGAATCTTCTGATCAGAAGCATAGACCTATCTCCGTAAATAAGAGCCGGCAGCAGGTGCAACGAGAAAAAGTTCTTCAGCAACAATATCGAAAACTGGGACTGCAGGATGCAGCAGCCTCTGTACCTTCAGAACAGCTGCTTTCTGTGCCAAAACACAAGCCCTGTCTTCCAAGTCCCCCTCTGCAACAATCTCCTCCATCCTCAATCAAAGATCAAAGGCAACATGACACTAGAGATCAAGAGGCTGTGCAGGGACTTGAAAATCCTTGTAATGGCGATGAAAAAACCCAGCATCTCCTTGTAAAGATGGATTTAAAAATGGAGAACAAGAGAGTGGAATTGTTAGTAAGTCTGTACAATCAAGGGATTGGTTTTATTCCTTACTGTATTTTAGATTCAGAAATCTTCTCTTTTGCTT